AGATATAGATATAGATATGTGCATATACAAAACATTTAGACATCTATGTTTAAATTATATTTTAAGCCCTCTAAGGCTTCAAGAAGAATAAGATTGTTCTGTGTTTTGCCTTATCATTTAAATACTTTTAGTCAAACCCCACGGGCTGCTTTCCAAAGTGGGAGGCTTGCCACCACCATAAAACTCTTTCCAACCAATGGAGATTACAGAGTTAAAACCCCAAGGATTAACGCTGGGCTGGCACAGGCCCCCTGCTGCCCTGAAGCATTTGTCTAAGCGCTTAAAAAAGGGAAGGGGTTGGGGGGAGGCAGTGAGGCGACAGAAAAGTTGTGGAAAATCTCTCTCAGGAGGTATCCTAATTCTAGGAAAAAAAACTCTGGTCTCAAGGATTCGCTGCCAGATCCTGCCTGGAATCTATCTATATTCTGTTGATTTTACCTTGTTTATACCCTTGCGAAGCCAGAAATAATGCCTGTCAGGTTCCGACCTGATCACTTAAATTATGAGGTGGTTATGAAAAAGGAAGTCCATAGAACTCCCATTTGCTAAGACACAGGTATCAACAGGATAACCCCAAAATAACAACATTTAAATCTTAATTTGGACTTTTGTCTCCACCTGCCTTGCAAATTGTATTCAAATGTTCAGTGGGTCATTTCTATAAATGAAATATATATAAACATATTTACCCAGTGAGAGCAAGAAAGAGGCAGATAGACACTGGGCACTTAAAAAAAAAAAACTACTATAAATTGTCATGGCCCCGGAAGCAAAGATCATATCTATTAGATTAATATCAAATTGAGTTATAGATGTAAACTTTGATAAGCAGTGATTGCTGTAAAATGAGGAAACATAGAAATGATGATAATACACTCCTCATACCCTGAGTATTTGTCTGTAATTCAGAACGTGTTCTATTTGGAGTATTGGTGTTAACATGCTTTCTTAGCAGAGAGTGCAACAGCAGTTTGGTGTATGTTATGAATGCATATTAACAGCACATGCATTTGCATATCTGGAACTATCGTAGAAAATACATAAAGAAATTTCTTTTGAAAGACTATTGTACAAACATACTGAATCCTTGCTAAATCTTGATATAACAACTTTTTGTTTTCCTCCTTTTTGGGGGAAAAACCCCTCTAAGACATTCAAAACATAGATTAATACCCAGAAAACCTCAGCATAGAATCTATCTGCACCCCCCCATCCCCACCACATTACCACCAGCACCAAAAAATTTTATTTCATGTTCAAAGGCAGCAATAGAACAGCCCAAAATGTTTTCATCAAAACCTGTTTCTCATTTGCGCATTGAAAAGATAAAATACAAAATCTATGCTTACGATGAGCCACATTGGTGATAATTTTCTACTGACATGTCATGTTGTCTGTTTCTTGGATTTTTATTTTCCTGTGCTTGACGCCTGTCATACAAGGCAGCTTCAGGAGACTTTGCAAGTTTAGAATATGATGCAATATACAACATTCATGACAGGGGTGATTGCTTTGTGGCTTGTGACCCTGATACTTATGTTCCTTTACATTTAAAAATTAAACCATACATGAAACAAACAGAATTCTGCATTTGGTCTTCCTATACAAATTTCCTGTGCTGACAGAGAGTTTAAAAGTGTGCGTTGTTTTTCAGTCAAAAGCTGTGTGAAATAGACTCAATGCACCCATTAACAGCAATATTCCCTTAAGCGACACATTTCGAAGGGCCTTGCTATGTCCAATTTTTAAAAAGCATGAACTAGGCCAACCTACCTATGTTAAGTTATGAATTTATGGTCTTTTATTTTAAAATTGCATGTTTTCTTTTACTGGACCATTGAGAGAATAAAATTATCCCCCTTTACCTAGCACGGTTCTCCCCTTTACCGGTTTTTCCTTCTTTTCTAGAACTGCCCGGACAAAGTCGAGTAACTGTTGAGGGGGATGGAAATAAGTGGGGTATGAGGAGTGAAAGTGAATTTAGTTCGAGGCCCCCAGTGCCAACTGGGAACCAAAGTGCATTCGAGTGGCAGAATCCTCAGCCTTTCAAAACTAGGCTTGATCAGGGGAGTGCTAACCCAGACTCCACAGCTACAGCTCTGCCAGGGATTACTTTAATACCAAAAGCATACTGTCTCAGGTTATAGAAAGAGATTACACTGCCATCCAACAACAAAGGTGGTGTTGGTCTATTTTCAAACTTTTATTTTTTTTAAAGAACCCTTTTCACTTTACTGACAGTCAATCCTGAAATAAAACGTCCTTTTTGGGTGGACTGGGGTGGGGGGATAGGGAATAGAGAAAGAGAGAGAAAGGTGGAGTTTGCTTCTGGCTTCACAGTCTGTTTTATTTATAAAGCTTTGCCAGCTTCACTTAACTGTTTCTACCCTGCTTTTGTTAAGAAACCCAAAAGGGCGGCATGGGAAAGACAGATAAATATGAAATAAATATGACAGGGAAAAACAATTCGACACTAATATGAGAGTGACAAGATATTTCAATTGGTATTGGTCTGGAGGGAGAAAAATGTGAGAAAAACTTTAGGAGAAAGAAAAAATTCTGCAAGCTCAAAAAAAATCAGGAAAGCTCATTTTGATTGAAATACACAGCAGAACACCAGCGGAAGAAAGACAAAAACCTAAGTGGTAATTTTTACCTCTATTGTGTCTGAAATGAAATTAGAAGGAATAAGCATGTCATGCTGGAAAGAGACCAGGGACAATAAACAGTGAAGTTGTGGCTCTGGGGAGAGGACATAAGCAAGTAGTCTGAGATCGCTCACATTGGACTGGCAATCCTTTCTGCGTTTTGTTCACAGATGCAGAGAATCTCTCTGAAAAGTTGTTGAAAGGTACCAGCAAGTGTAGAAATGGGAGCACCTGAGGATGCCTTTCACAGCCCCCAGACAGAGAAACTGTTCTTTCATTCCAAATTCCTAAGAAGCACAGAAGTCTCACATGTTAGTAAGGGAACACACAGACACACACGCCGGTAAGTTACATGTCATGAAACAAAACAAGGAAATAAGGAGACCTCTGTTGATCCCTGTTTGCTGACACAAATCTTAGTTTGGTTAAGCATCTCAAGACCATTTTCCTGATTTCAGCTCTTTTTCATGGCTTTCTTTCCCTGGGTACCCAGGTGCACAAATAGGATGGTGATCTTCACAAAACATCAACAACAATGACAAAAAAAAAAAAAAGCCTCTCGCTCACACAAAAGCCCACCTTGTAAATGAATGGAATATTAATGACTACCTAACAGTTGCACCGTTGGCAGGGCAAAACTAAACACTAATACAGCCCTTCCTGCAGATTGCCCGTGAAGCCAGAGCAGCTCGAGGAGAGACGCACCTACTGTATGTGAAATGCTGGTGCAGATTTTTCCCTATCAGTCTAACCTTCTGTGTTGATGCATGAATGCTGGTACCCACTTACAGGGATGCCAGATGATCAGTGCAGAATGAAGGTCCCAAGAGAGAGGATCACATGGTTCTCTCTGCCCTGTGACGTCACTAGCAGATGGCATGGGTACCAGCTCTGGCAGTTGGCATCAATGTCACTTTTTAGAGATCAATGAGATAGTGCAGATACACACAGATCTAGAGACTCCAGGAGACGATGCGACACTCAGCCTGAAAAGATTTGGAAGATCCAAAATGAAAACTGATTATTGAATGAAATTAAAACCTAAGGTAATATAAATAAAGATATACTTCAATTGATGCTGGCTTTGCATGCAAGTATTTAAAGATACAGTGTCACTGTCTTATAGGATTTATATGCTCTTTGCCATCTATAACTTCTTATTATATTTTATTCTTATGATGCAATTATCACATACTTTCACTGCTACTATGTTACACTGCTGCGAGTATGTGGACATTACTAAGAGTTTGTGTGTGTGTGTCTGTGTGTGTGTATGGAGATTGTTAAATTGAAAAATCTCTGTTTTAACCTGCTTATTTGTTTGAGGACTTTAGATGAAAATACTTGCTGCTTCACCAAACGAAAGCCAAAATTGCATTTGAAACACAAATTATTTTCCCCTTTCATTCGGGATTCTGAACACACGTGCACAATTGCAGTCAGAATCCTTGGACCGTTCCTGTCAGATATTAGCTAGAGGGAGACTTCTGTGGCTCGTAGAACAAAAACACTCCGAGAGTGTTTTTTGTCCAGGATAATTTGAACAGCAGTAAACAGACAATTACATGTAGAGAAAATGTAAATGGAAAAGCAGTCTCAACATTTTCTTTGATTTGAGACAATGCCAATGATTTTTATTTTTTAAATTTATTTATGGAGTTTATTCCAAATTAGCTTAATCCTTCCCCACCCCTTTTTTTGTATGTGAAGGCTGGGAAATAGTGCTCTTTGACATTTTTCTTTACTGATCCAAGAGAATTCAGTTTTAAAATTGGCTCTGATTAATTTTGTTTTAAATTGTATGTTTGTAACAGCTACTTATCTAAATCCACGGTTACATAATATAGCAAATAAAGTTAAGGCTTTTTTTAAAAACCCACAAATTTGTCATCTAATGGAGAGAGAGAGTACTTTTTATTTTAAAAACGGGTGCCTCCGCTCATTTTCTACTCAGGGGGATTAGAACTAATGAAATTCTATATTGTTGTATTATGTTTTGTATTTGCTAAAGTTCCATGCTCTTTTTTGTATATTTAAAAACCAGTAAAATAGCAAAGAGAAATAGAGATGGTGGTGGCATTACTATAAATGCCTCATGTTTTATTTTCTTTTGATAATCTGCTTGTATGAATTAATCCCATTGCATGTGTCAATATTTGCCATAATTACTCATCTGCCCAAACTCAAAAATTATATTTAATGTAAAAAAAGATGACTCCCGGAATCAGTTTCTTTTCACGTGGTTTTGCATTTTTATGATTAAGTCATTCAATATGTTTGAAGTGTATAAACTTTAACAATGAAAACACTTTAAATATTGGCATTTTTCAGGTAATTTAAGATTAGAGAACCATGTTAACACTACCGTTTGATGAGTCTGTTGTAATGCCAGAATCCCAGATGTGCAGAAAGTTTTCTAGAGAATGCGAGGACCAGAAGCAAATTAAGAAACCAGAAAGCTTTTCCAAACAGATTGTCCTTCGAGGAAAGAGCATCAAAAGAGCCCCGGGAGAAGAAACTGAGAAAGAGGAAGAGGAGGAAGACAGGGAAGAGGAAGATGAAAACGGCTTGCCCAGAAGGAGGGGTCTTAGGAAAAAAAAGACGACCAAGCTGCGACTCGAGAGGGTCAAGTTCAGGAGACAGGAAGCTAATGCGCGGGAGAGGAACCGGATGCACGGCCTGAACGACGCTCTGGACAATTTAAGAAAAGTGGTCCCCTGTTATTCTAAAACCCAAAAACTGTCCAAAATTGAAACTTTACGACTGGCCAAAAACTACATTTGGGCACTTTCGGAAATTCTAAGAATCGGCAAGAGACCTGACCTGCTCACGTTCGTCCAAAACTTATGCAAAGGTCTTTCCCAGCCGACTACAAACTTGGTGGCCGGCTGCTTGCAGCTCAACGCCAGGAGTTTCCTGATGGGGCAGGGCGGGGAGGCTGCGCATCACACCCGGTCACCCTACTCCACTTTCTACCCGCCCTACCACAGCCCTGAGCTCACCACCCCCCCAGGGCATGGAACTCTTGATAATTCCAAGTCCATGAAACCCTATAATTATTGCAGTGCATATGAATCCTTCTATGAAAGCGCTTCCCCTGAGTGTGCCAGCCCTCAGTTTGAAGGTCCCTTAAGTCCTCCCCCAATTAACTATAATGGGATATTTTCTCTGAAGCAAGAAGAAACCTTGGACTATGGCAAAAATTACAATTACGGCATGCATTACTGTGCAGTGCCACCCAGGGGTCCCCTTGGGCAGGGTGCCATGTTCAGGTTGCCCACCGACAGCCACTTCCCTTACGACTTACATCTGCGCAGCCAATCTCTCACCATGCAAGATGAATTAAATGCAGTTTTTCATAATTAATGAGGAAAATGAAAATAAACAGTGGTCATTCACCTCCCCCCATCTAATTAAGACAAAGCAGATGCTTGTGGGCTGAGTAATTGGCACAACTCTATCTAAGGTGTTTCCTAGTTTCTGAAGTGTGTTTCAACTATTGTGAGAATTTTCTATGTAATAATAAACCTCTTTTCTTATGAGAACTCCTTTTCCTTTCCTTTTGTCTGTAAAGCACTGTGATTCTGTTTCTCCAGGAAGAATTTTATTTGGTTTTTTTTTTTTTTGGTTTTTCTTTTAAATTCACAATTTGTTTGAACGAGGTGTCTCAGAGTGTACTGTTGAATGAAGACATGCACCCAGCATAACTCAGTGTCTATTTCAGTTGTACAGTAATGATAAAAATGCATGTTATTAAAATAAGATGAATAAAATAATGTGTTTATAATGATTAGGAATTACATCTTATGTATCTCTGAAAAATTGGAAATTTAATATATTGAAAATAACACCAAGCTGACAATGATATTGGAAGGCACATTTGAAAATGTGCAACAATATAAAAAAGCCATGCCCTTTTCTTTTTATTAAGGATAAATCTAAATGCATTCAATGGGTAATAATTCCTCTTCAAGCATTTGCAGATGAGGCAGCATATTTAGGTAGGTGGGGTCATAATTTTGGATAGTGTATTTCAATCATAAAAAAAATTTCAGCACTTGTTTTGTATGGTTTGGAAATTTTCTGTACAGGTTTGTTATCATAATGTATAATTGTGTTTTTCCACCCCACATTTTTAAAGCAATTAAACATAGACATTTACACTTGTAAAGGATATCTATTAGCTGTAATATTTCTTCATACTTACTATTTCACAGCTGCTTTCTGTCTCCAAAACTCCCTCCTCCCCATTTCAGAAATATTTCTGGATTTCAAAGCCATACAAGGTAAAACAAATTTCTTAAACAAAATGGCCAAAGCGCTTACAAGATTTTTTTTTAAGTATCTTAAATGAAAGAAGAGGAGCCCATGAGGGTTGAACATCCTGGGGAAACAATGATAAATCCTGGTAACCTTCAGCTCCAGCCGAAATTCGGTGGCAAATTTCCAGCAAACAACAGAGTGGCTGTTAAAAATGAGAGGTTTGATTCTGTGCCCTTTAAATAAGTCTGGCCGATTAGAGGCTAAATTCTGTGTGATTATAAGTTTCCTGACAAAAGGCCACCAAAAACCCTACTTGAATAGAGCTGGGGGAGCTCACCCTCTTAAGAAGAACTGCGCCCCTTCTAGAATAAACACCTAGGTGTCAGTGACCTCCCTCCAGATACCCTCTGGTGCCAGTCCACCTTTCAGGGGACAGAGGGGGAACAGCTGCGAAGGCCTGTGAGGACCGCAGACTAGGGTCCAGCAGTGCCGGGAGGAGCCCGCCCGGGCGGGCCTGGGCGGGCCTGGGCAGGGGTCCGCGCACCATAGTCAGGACCCCTGGTGCGTCCGGGGCCATCGCCACTGCTGCTGCGGCGCAGGGGCGCGGGCCTGAAGGTGTCTCGGAGGCGACTCCTGCGGGGAATGAGGTGGCTGACCGCCACCCCCCCAACCCCACCCCGCAGTTGTCACAGGGGCACAGAGGCACACGCTGCACTGCCCATGTCTTGCCCGCAGTGGGCGCCCTGGGGCTCCGGGTCTGCACCTGGTAAGCGCACTAACCTACCGGGACCAGGAAGGGGTTGCATGGCCAGTGAGCCAGACCTAGCTGGTCCTAGAGACTCTGGTCTGAACCCAGGAGAGGCAGACCTCTTGGCGCCAGGCCCTGAGAGGAGGGACAGGGGGTCATCCCTTCACCCGCTGCGTCTGCCGCAATGGGGATCAGGGAGGCGGCTGCAAATTCCGCTAAGAGCTACCCCTGTCCTGCCCTTCCCACGGCTTGTGGGACTTCTTGAGCCGAGGCCTGGAGTCCCGCGCCCCATTCTCCAGAGGGGCAGAGGCCCTTCAGCTCTCCCATCCCCATCGTAATGCCAGAGCCTTAGGCGTTCGCGGCAACCGCGCTCTCCAAGGGGCCAAGGTACCTAGCAGCTGATGGGAAAGGATGCTGCGGGTCCTGAACGAGCCCTTCCAAAAGTGGCAGTGTGAGCGCCTGTTCAGTCAAATCTCAGGAGGGCAGGAGCAAAGAGGTCGGAGAAAGAGGAGGAAGTGTGCCCTCCAGGGATAAAGAGGAGTTTGCCTAAGGTAGAGAGCCCTCTGTCCCCTACCTGTAGCGACAATGGAGTAACTGCTTTCTCGCAGATGCGCACACAACCTGCCCTCTCTGGTACTGTGGCCAGGATTGCTGGGCCTCTTTAAGGCCACTCAGATACTGAGAGTTTGATCACTACTCATCCCGTCTGAGCAAAGGGCAAGAAAGTAAGGACGGATCTGGAACTGGGAGAATAGGGCTTTTTAAAAAATGTTAAGGCCATTCTGTTAAATCACTAGCAGAATAGGTGCGGTCTCCCCCACCCTTGCTTCAAGGTGACCCACTGCCTGGCTGAGAACAGCTTCGCGCCTGCTCCGCATCTTTTTGGTCCAGACAGCCTTTGAAATCCGTACAGACTTCCTGGGGTCACAGAATCCTGCTGGAACCGGAGGCTGCTAGAGGAGCTGTCTTCTCCGGGAGCCCTTCTGGCAGTATGGGGGAGCTAAGAGGAAAAGCAGCTGGCTGAATGGGGAGAAGGCAACTGTTCAGAAGGAGCGTCTCACTTCCGAGCTTTGTTCACAAGGAACACAAGTGAAAGAGTGGGGTTTGCAGGCACAAACCTCGTGGATTAGGAAATTCCTTCCAAAGGTGGATGCACAGATCCCACGAGTGCTCCCTCCTTCAGCGGATTGATGGAATCTGGGGTACTGTGGTGTGCATGGGTCTGAGCCCTGTGGCTTCATCATCCTGCGGACCCCACAGATGACCCCAGGCATGGGAGTCAGGGAGCCCCCTTGCTCCTGCCAAGGGTGAGGTGTCACTTTACTCCCTCAGCAGGGCCCCCCCACCCTGTTGCCTGGGGACTGCGATCCTGAGAAATCATATGACTGGTTCCTTCATATGCCAACATCACAGACGCATTGCAGAGTCTGATCTTTTAAGGTCGTGCTCTGAAGGGGCGGGCAGGGAATGGGACACAAAAAACAGCATAGCACAGAGCAGTTTAGGATCAGAAAGGCTTGGAGTCATATTTGGGGCAGAACCTGGCCTGACCACTAGCCTCTTATTGCCGACTAGTGGCAATAGTATACAGCACCCAAAAGGCTCAAGGTCAGGATACCTTAGCTCCTTGCTCTCTGCCTGGCATCATGCTTCCCTTACCTACAGAAAGAAAGATGAAAGGTTTTTCTTTCTCCCAAACCCTTCTAATAATTATTGTCCTTCAAATTGATTAAGCATTTTTTCTTTCGAGCTGAGTTATGTGACTCTTATATTGAACTCCTTAAATGTTTGTCCTTTCTCCTTTATCAGGATTAGAATGTATATATGTTCTACTAAGTGACCTCAACAAAATGAAGATATATTTCTCTCTCATATAAAAAAGTGGTAACGAGAAGCAAAAGAAAAAAAAATTTTAAAAATTGTATGGCTGTTCAGGGACACCAGAGGCCTCTTTGACTATTCTCCATTAACCTTAGTGTGGGATGTTCATTCTCAAATTCACCTCATGGCCCAAAATAGCTGCTGGAGATCTAGCCATTGCATCCTCATCCCAATTAAGAACAAAAGCGATGGCAAAGGGGTGTCCCATCCACCTGATCAAACCCTTTAGAAAATATGTATAGAAGCCCCACCCAATTACTTCTACTTAAATCTCACTGACTACCTATAGATTGAAGAGAAGCTGAAAAATATATCCAAGTTGTTGTTTTTTTTTAATCAGAGCATATTGCCACCTGAAATAAAATGATGTTTTGGAATTATGAAAGAAGGAGTCAATAGGCATTGGCTGGGCATTTAGCAATCTCTGCCACACCTCCCCTCCTAGAGTCTGAATCCTCAAGAGATGAGATCTCATCTTATATGCTGTGTGGACTACTGTGGCTCTCTGCCTTAAACATCATACATAGGTTCTCAATAAATGTTTAATTGTTTTAAAATCCCTCATGACAGTTTAGGTGGCTGATGTTCTAGAGCATGTCTTTCATCTATGGGCTAACAGCATGCACTGAACACCAAACCCAACAGGACCATTGCTGCAGCCCACCCAGCCCTCATCAGTGCCCCTTGGGGGGTTGCCCTGACCACACTGATCACCTCTGCACTGCCCTGGCCTCCCACCTGACAGTTACATTCTGCCCATGGCATCACCGGCCTTCCTTGGAGGGTCCCATCTGCCGGAGAAGACACTGTCTTAGTTCATTCTGAGTACAGTGAGCCCCGCTTTACACACATTTCCCATTTCCTGCAGCATGTGGCCGGGTCTCCTTGCCTCTGTGCAAAAGCAGTGCCTTGAAACAGCTGTCCACCAGTTCCTTCCCCTCTTCTCTGAGATCGTATACTGTTCCCAAGGATTCTTTTTTCTGTTTCTACTATCTCTCCCCCTGTTGACTACATACATTTGTGTTTCCAAATGGTCATAGGTTCCCCCACTTTGTGGATTCTAAGTAAGCTGTGTTCTTAAGGCCAATTGTTTGGCACTTGCTCCATGCCTTCAATAGAAACTCCAAATGTGTCTTAGCCTTCACATTTTTCTGTCTCAACAGAGGGAGAAATGTGAAGGAGTCGATTCAACCATTATTTATTGAGTCTCTGATGAGTTCTTCACTGCTCTCAGTGGTGAGGATACAGTGAGACAGGAAGAGTCAAGCACCCCAATCTTGTGGAGTTTCTGGTGTAGCAAGGATGCCTGGGTGTCCTTGACACAGGTAACATGCTGTTCAAAAGTGCCAGCCTGCACCAGCTGCTGCGAAAGGGGCTGGGAGAGGGTGGACTCAGTAATGAACAGTCCATGTATGACCCCTGCTTTCCTAGGGCCTGAGTAGCCAAGGCCAAAAGAGTCCCCATTCATCCAATA